TWYYTTTTTTTTTTTTTTTTTTTTTTTTWGAAACTGCATAGTACGTACCTTTGTCTTGCCGTACCTAAGTCCCGCTAATACTTGCACCTGGCCAAGACAACTCAATTCAAAATTTCAAACACCAGTGAACCAGCAACCAAGTCCAATGCTTATACATGCAGGGCTTGTACATGCAGGCAGATGTTGAGATGAGATAGAAGAGAATAGCCGAACATCTCTCCTCCCCTCCAACCACCTGAAAGCCGTCCGCAAAATATCATTCTGATGTCAATTTGAGTACAAAGTTTTCTATCTCCAGCGAGGAACGACAACCAGTAGCCGCCAAAGAACACAGTCCAAGTTCTTCTCTCATGTCTCTCTCTGATGTCGATCCACCTACCGTCTTCACCAGAATAGAATGCCCGGTAATTATCGCCGCATCCGGACTGAAAGTTGCCCCAAATACAGCTATAATGACCAGGCTTCCTATTCGGATGAAGATGGTAGGCGGCAGCCGCCATGTACAAGTGTCATTGTCTTCCTCCCTTTTGAAGGATCTAGCACTATGTGTTCCCACTGATCTGGAAAACTACCGCAAAGTCGGCGGAGTGTAGCGGCACTCACACAATAGCACTGCACTGTAGCACCATCACACTGTAAGCATCGCTCACACTGCGCACTGAAGCAGCGGTCACTGTAGCACCATGCACTGTGGCAGCGCTCACTGTGGCACCACATACCGTCGCAGCCTGGCGGAAGCTATCCAAAGAAGTGTCTGAATGGGCTGCTGGCTGGCTTATATACTTTTGGCCAGCCAGTACATCATCCTTTTAGATACCGGCGGCCAGACCCAGTTGCTGCCCCACAGCCAACTCGAACTTTCTTTGCGCTGATACCTTTTTCCTTGAGGCAAGTGCCTTCCAGTTCAAAAGAAAGAGGCTGTGCAGCTTCCATCATCAGTGCCTTGCCATTTCTGGAGCGGCGATCGTGCCATTTCCTTTTCTTTTTTCTTTTTCTTTCCCTTTTCTAATCAGCTGTTAACCACAAAGCCCCTTCTATTCGGGGGGGCAACAGTCCGGTCGCATATCACCGGCAAGCATGTTTGTACATCCACAGAAGGGGGGAGATCAGATCAGAAAAGGGAAACAGCCTAGCCCTTGTGGCATTGATTGCCTACCAAGGGGAGACCTGTGAAAGGGGGCTCGCCCCTCCAAACCATGGTCTTTCTCTGGGGGCCACCCTGCTTGCCGGGAGGCTTCCTAGCAGCACCCGACACGCAGCAGGGCGTTCCACGACCGGCCGGTGCTGTGCAATTTACATGGCAGGGGGGCTGAATCTGCTTTTCACTTTCACTGACCTTTTCGTTCTTTACTTTCCGGAGGGTTCTTTTCGTTAGTTACTTTCCGGAGGGTCCTTTTCGTTCGTTACTTTTGTAGAAAAAGTCCCGAGCACCTTTTTGCAAAAAGTGCCAAAAACTCAAAAGAAGGACGAAGTTCCGAACAAACAATTAAATTTTCAAATAACAAGTGCAAAAATCAAAATCACGTCGGACCACACAATGGACATATTTTAATGATATTTACAAATTATGGTGCACTAGCGGGTGCTGCAAAACCACGGGTTCTTGCGAGGATGCCCCTTAACACGGCTGTCTTCGACACTTTAATGGATTACCAGACAGCAAATGCAGACCTCCTCACATATGTATTTCTAGTAAGTGCTACTAATTTTCTAGAGTTTATGGTTAGCTCAGAAGTGGTTAACAGGCACCACCCCGACTTTTCTTCGATACAGCTATAACACCTCTATGGGTGTTGGAGGGCTCCGTTCTTTTTTTTTTTATGTCTTTTTTTTTTTTTGGCCTGTTCTGTTTTGGCTTATGGTTTTGTAGGTGTGAAGTTTGAAGGAGGTTTGATCTTTGGAGGTGGCTTTCCTCAAAAACACCCGGAAAAGAAAGAAAGAAAGAAAGAAAGAAAGACAACACCAAAAGATTTGCTGAATGCCGGTGAATGGGGCTTTTTCTTCACAAAAAGAGGTTGTTGCACTGGTGTTTTGGGAGTTTAAACTTTTAAGTTTTAAGTTTTAACAGTTTAACAACTTTAATTTACACTGCTTTCTTTTTTTT